CCCTGGCCGCACCGGGTCGAGCTCCTCAGCCGGACAAAAGGACGCTCCGCGTTCCGGACGCCGGGGGTGAATCTCTCTCTGCCCACGCCCCCCGCAGGCTCTTGGCCAATGGCAGCGCGAGCTGGCGGCCGCGCAGCCAATCAGGAGGCCGCGTGCGGAGAGGGCGGGGAGAGGCGCCAAGTGGAAGCCGACTGCGGGGCGCGCGGCTGCGGCCGGGGAGGATTTCTCCCCCCTCAGGCGCCGCCGCGGGTCGAGCCGCGCGGAACGGCGGCCGGGAGTCGTCCGTCGACCTGCCCGCCGTCCGGGGCTTCGGAGCCGCGAATCAGACGGGCCCAAGGCGTGGCTCGAGAAGCACGCCTGGCTGGCACCCACGGAGCCCGGCGAGCGGTAAGGCCCCGAGTTCGAGCCCCGGGACCGGCACCTGGACACGGAACACCAAGCAGCGGATGGAGACGCCACCCTTCGTGTTCGAGGGGCCCCTGAGAAGTGTCCGACTCGGAGGCGTGGTCCCGGCACCCCGAGTTATCCCTGAGGGGGGCCCCCCCCGTCCCGCACAGAAACTTCGAGAAACGCAGAGCAGGCCCAGCTCGAGGCCTGCCGCTCTCCGAGCGCGGTCGGGGTGGGGTGGGGGGCGCTCTGTCGAGTCCGGGGGTCGGTCGGTAAACGGGGTGCCGCGGCTGGGCGAGCGGAGAAGCACGCGGGGGGAGTCGCCGGCCTCCCGCCGGACCCCGGACCCCGGACCCCGCAGACCCTGGCGGGACGGGGCCTGGCCGCCGGACCCCGCAGACCCTGGCGGGACGGGGCCTGGCCGGCGCTGCGGGGGGGGGGGGGGAGGGGGGGGGGGGGGGGGGGGGGGGGCAGGGGGAGTTAAGCCACGCCTCCCGCTTGTGTTTGGTCTTTTTTTACTGGATCACTGGAGAAGGTCCCCAGCCTCTTCTTGCCTCCACTGGCTTCGAACTAAGATCCTCCAGGGCGTGAGCAGCTAGAATGGCAGGAAAGGACCCCTCGGCCCAGCTTGCTCTGGTTACTTTTTTCAGTGTGCTAATGTCCACGGATGCCTGAATTTGGATCCTCCTCCTCCTCCTCACACTTTTCTGCCGCAGCTCGCATCACAGGTTTCCCACTTGGTTGAAATGGGAGTCTCTTGAATTTTTTTTCCCAGGGCTAGCTGTAAGGTCCGCTCCTGGATGGCGAGCAGACTCCACCCTCCTCCCAGCAAAGTCTCCACCCAGTACCCGCGTTGCCTAGGCAACTGGGACACCTGGAAGAGGTCACATCTGAATTTGATGTGGCCACACCCTTCTCGGCCCAAACCCTAGATAAGGCCTTGCGCAGGCCCAGATGCTCTCTCTCTGCAATTTTCTAGCTCTTTCTCAGCTCTTTCCTTCTCTTTCCCAGCTCCCTTCTCTTTTCTAGCTCTCTCTGCTCTCTCCTCTCTCTCTGTTCTTTTCTAGCTCTTCTCTCCCAGCTCTCTTTCCCAGGCCTCTCCCTAAGGCATGGAGGACCAAGATGGCCTGGTGCCACCCGGAACGATGAATAAACCTACCCCTTACCTGAATACCACTGCGTGGTGCTGTTTTTACTCGGCCACCTCTTTTTAAAAACCTAACACTAGCCTAGAACTCTATTCCTCCTAATCTCAGTTTCCTGCCTACCTTGGATTACAGAGAGGAGCAGTGGTGCCCTCCTATTTCCTTTTCCTTCCCTTCCCCTCCCTTCTCCTCCCCTCCCTTCCCCTCTTTTCCCCTCCCCTCCTTTCCCTCCCCTTCCCTTCCCTCTCCTCCCCTCCCCTCTCCTCCCCTCCCCTCCCTTCCCTTTCCCTCCCTTCCCTTTTTCCTTTTTTCTCTTTTTATTTTTTGCCAGTCTTGGTGCTTGAACTCAGAGCCTGGGCACTGTCCCCTCCTTCCCTTTCTTTTTTGCTTCATTTTGCTCAAGGCTGGCACTCTACCACTTAAGCCACATTGCCACTTTTCCAGCTTTTTCTGTTTATGTGGTATTGATGAATGCCACATTCCTAGCCCCCCTTTGTTATTATTATCATCATCATCATCAAAGTCTATATGTAATCCAGGCTGACCTGGAACTTGAAAATTAGCTCAGGCTGTCTTCAAACTTGAGATGCCTTAGCCTCCCAATTGTTCTCCTAGCTGCACCCAGCTTGGAGAATTATTTTGAGTATAATTTTTTTAGGGGGGAGGGAGGGTGGGCTGTCCTGGGGCTTGAACTCAGGGCCTGGTACTGTCCCAGAGCTTCTTTTGCTCAAGGCTAGTGCTCTACCACTTGAGCTGCAGAACCACTTCTGCCTTTTTCTGTTTATGTGATACTGAGCAATGGAACCCAGAGCTTCATGCATGCTAGGCAAGCACTCTACCACCAAACCACATTCCCAGCCCCCATTTTGAGTATAATTAATAGTTATATACAGGATTGCTTAAGAAAGTGGTGTGGATATTGATAAATTGAAGCCAGATAAGGAATCTGGACTTAATTCAGTCAACAGTGAGTAATTTACCCTTGGGCAGTGTTGTGTGTATTTAGGGTAATGTATTTATAAGTTTACTAATAATTTACTGAGATAGCATTATTGCTCATCAGGTCTATCATGAGCAGTAGTTTTCACTTCTGCATTTGAAGTTGGGCAATCTATATTCAGTCTGGCTGGGTCTCTTATTGGCCACGTTGTCTGTAATAAATTACATCACTTTTCAGTCACAATAATCTTGTTATGCACCCGTGAGTCCTTAACACCTCTGCCAGAAGGATTAGCTGGAAAACACTGATGCAAGGGCAAAAGCTTTATTTTTATGCAGAGGTACAGGAAGGCCATGCGGGTTGGGAAGACGGTCCCTGAAGATTCCAGAGTACAAGCAGTTTCCCTCTTTTCTACCCTCCCTGCCCAGCCTTCCTGGTCATGGGAAGGAAATTCATGTGCTTACATGCTTCTTCCTGTGCTGTAATATCTCAACTTAGTTCCCCATTGAGGAGTGTGCATTTTACTCTTAAGAATAATTTTTATTTTATTTTTTTTGTTGGTCATGGGGCTTGAACTCTGGGCCTTGGCACTGTCCCTCAGCTTTTCAGCTCAAGGCGAGCACTCTACCACTTGAGCTACAGCACAACTTCCTCTTAAGAATAAGACTTACTTTTGAGAAAGCTTTTTTCAGGCATACATCCTGCTTTAAAAGAAGTCCCAAATGTGCCCTAACCTTTGGGTGAACTTCTAAGCATTCTTTTCATGCTTGAGGAGACTAACAACACAGTCTTAACCAGTTTGGGGGTAGGGGCAGATACTTGTTCAAACTCTACCGTATGTCTTAATAGGCTGTTTATTTGCAATTCTATCTCTAAAACTAGGATAAGATCAATAAGTAAATTTCTATTATTTAAGCACTTAACTTCATTCTGGTAACTTATTGTAACTTACACAAAGTCTACCTTTTAACATTTTTATTTTTTGGTGCGAGGTTCATGTGAACTAATCAGGTGCTGTAGCAAGGGTGTGTGTGTGTGAGAAAATGGAAAAGGGCTGGGAAGGTGGCTCAGTGGTAGAGTGCCTTGCATGCATGAGGCCCTGGGTTCGATTCCTCAGCACCACATAAACAAAAAAGCCTGAAGTGGTGCTGTGGCTCAAGTGGTAGAGTGCTCACCTTGAGCTGAAGAACTGAGGGACAACAGCACCCAGACCCAGAGTTCAAGCCCCACGACTGACAAAAGAAAGAAAGAAAATGGAAAAAGGCTGGGCATGGTGGCTCACAACTGTAATCTCTGCTACTGGTAAGCAGAGATTGGGAGGATGGAACATTTAAGGCTAGCCCAGGCAAAAAGTTAATGAAACCCAATTTCAGCCAATAAGCCTACCATCACATCTCTTGGGGAGGCATAATTGAAAAGAACACCCAAGCAAACTCCACTCCTCCCCCAAATCCTACCTGGGAAATTAAAGCAAAAGGGATGGGGAATGGCTCAAGTAGTAGGTAATATACCTGTTTAGTAAGCATGAGGCCATCAGTTCAAACCCCAGAACAGGAAAAGCAAATATCCCCAAGTGAAAAGTAGACACTTTCATGTACATTTCTTGACTTAATAGTATACATTTCAGGGCTGGGAAGATGGCTTAGTGGTAGAGTGCTTCCCTTGCATGCCTGAGGCCCTGGGTTCGATTCCTTAGCACCACATAGCAAAAAGAAAAAAAAGCCGGAGGTGGCGCTGTGGCTCAAGTGGTAGAGCGCTAGCCTTGAGCTGAAGAGCTGAGGGACAGCGCCCAGGCCTAGAGTTCAGGCCCCACTACCGGACCCAAAAAAAAAAAAAAATAGTACACATTTCATGTATAGTAGCTATTGCTATTAAAATTTATAAGGCTAAGCCTATGTGTAATCTTTTGTGTGTGTGTGTGTGTGTTTTGTTTTTTTCTTGGTCGTGGGCCTTGATCTCTTTACCTAGGCGCTGTCCCTCAGCTCTTCAGCTCAAGGCAAGCTCTACCACGTAAACCACAGGGCCACTTCCAGTTTCTGGTGGTTTATTGGAGATAAGAGTCTCATGGACTTTCCTGTCCGTGCTGGCTTTGAACCACAATCCTCAGATTTTAGCCTCCTGAGTAGCTAGGATTACAGGTGTGAGCCAGTGGGCCAAATCTTTTATATCATTTTTTTCTTTGTTACAGTTCTGGGGTTTGCACTTAAGGCCTGCTTCCTGAGCCATACATCCAACCCATTTTGCTTCGTTATTGTTTGAGGAGGGTCTTCTGTTTATGTCTGTATTGGTCTGAATAGCGATCCTCCTATTTACTCTGCCCAAGTAGCTGGATGAAAGACGCCTACGCCAATAAGCCCAGTTTTTGCCCCAGCTGACATTATTGAACTTTGGTCCTCTTAATCTTTGTCTTTTCAATAGTTAGGATTATACATGTACTACTATTTTGTCTGGCTTTTTCTAGCTTTTTGTGTTAGAATATCTTTGTCCAATAACAATAGACAGAATTTGGACTCCCAAGATCCTATAGTATTCTGTCATGATTATTCTAGATTACATGGCCAATTGGACTTTGCAAATGGTTACAAATCAGCTAGCTTTAAAAAGCAGAGATTAGGTTGGATTTTCTAGGTGAATACAATGTAATCGTGAACTTATCATGAGGCTAAGGACGCATCAGATATATCCAATAGAAAACTGATAGGGATTCAAAGCAATAAGACTCAACTTTTGTGGACAGTTGTTTGATGATAGGCACATAGAAATCATGAAAAGGAAGTAAATTGTCATTGAGATCCAAAGATTTTTCTTTGGATCAGTTGTTGGCTGGTGTCTTGAGGTCAGCCATCTGAAAATTGTTAAGCAGAATTCCCAGCCAAGTCTACTCTTTCTGGTGGTATTGAGGCTCGAACTCCAGGCCTTTTGCCTGCTCAGTTGGTATTCTGCCACCTGAGCCACACCCCAGCCAGGCTTTTCTGCTGATTATTTTCTTGGTGGAATCCCACAAACTTTTCTTCTTGGACTAGTTTCAAATTGCTATCCTCTAGATCTCAGCCTCCAACTTGACTAGGATTACTGGTGTGAGCTCCTGGTGACCAGCTGTGTCTACTTCTCATAGAACGGTGAAATAACAAGCAGCGTTTGTTCTTTTTCCAGATAGTGGCAAAAGAACCCAAGTCCTTCTCTTACTAGCCTGGTTTTCCCTCATACTTTAGCCACACCCAAGCCTTTTTGGCTTTTTCAGATAGAGTCTTCATGCTATTGCCATGAGTAGGACTCGGACCTCTTCTACCGCCTTTGCCTTCTACTAGCTAGGATGACAGGCAGCTGGGATTCCTGCCTTATTGATTTGAAATGGAGGTGTTACTGTGGCCTCAACCAACCACCCTTTAGAGTTCCACCATTCAAGGAGTTGAATAGGTGTGCATCACCTTGCCCAGCAGTGTTTATAAGCACTTAATTCTCTGTACCAAAATATCATGAGATTTTTAAGTATCTGGAATGGCTTGTTTTTTATTTCACTACTGGGATCGTGCCAGCGTCTTGTGCAGGGTAGACAAGACTACCTCCCTCATGAGAAGTGATCTAGTTTGTGTTTAAATCTTAATTTCTCAGTGATGGCAGGGAGGGAATGAGCGGGAAAGAGGGAACAGCTTACACTAAGCAAAAGGAAAGAAATGTACGTTATCACTCGATATGGAAGAAATAGCATTGTCAAAGTTCATAGAATTCATAAACATTATAGGCCATGATAATGACAATTTGCCTTGTGAAAGTTAAAATGTGTTTATGACTTTTAAGAATCATTATCTCACAGTACTGTGAAATTTGTGAAAGTTATGTCATTAATGTCAATAAAAATTATTTAAAAATAAAAGCAAAAGAAAATTATAAACCTTAATTTCTCCATTCTTCCATTTCCTCAATGAAACATAACCCTTACAACTATATGAACAATATAAAGTGCCAAATGTTTTTCTTTTCATATAGCCAAGTCTGGCCTCTTACAATCTTCATGTATGAGACTCTTAAGTGGCTTATGAGCATTGTAGGAACAATAATTTATCTTTTAGGCACAAGTACTTACAAGAATGCTTGACCTATAGTGCTTCATAAAACTTTCTTTTTTTGCAACTACTATTAGAAATATAATAAAGAGCACTTTCCCATAATCACTAAATTCGCATTTCTATTCTCTGGTACATAATGGATACTCCTTTTTTAAGTTCATAAAATGAAAATGAACTTGTCCACAAAGCTATTCAGTATACCATTTATTATATACCTTTCTCCACTACATATCAAAACACAACATTTTTTTGAGGGCAAATGAACAGGAATTTGAACTTAGGGCTTCAAGTAAGCTGGGTTTGCTTGCTTGACTTGCATGCTCCTTTGAGCCGTGCATGCCTTCAGTCCAGAATTGAATTTTAGAGCAGGACAAAGTACAACATAATCACTAATGAGTTCACTATGACAGGACAAATATCAGCATAAATGTGCTTTTCAAAGTAGTTATTATGGTTAAATTTCGTGTTAAGTTGGCAGGACTGTTACCCATGTTGTTGAATGTGAGTATGGATACTTTGATGAAGCTGAGTACTGTGGATGTTGGCAAGTAATTTTAAAGTTATCCTCAGTAATGCAGGTCAGTCTCAGCATTAAGGACAAGTTTTCCCAGGGTAAAAGGAGTTCTGCTTCCAAATTGTAACATATTTTCCCTAACATTCTATCCTGATACTGTGCCCAACAGATCTCATTTTTTGTTATTGGTTACAGTCAGGATCTTTATAACCTAGTTGACCTCAAATTTGCAATTTCTCCTGCTCTAGCAGTGGTTATCGATGTTATCATCCAGGCCTCCCCAATGCTGGTAATATGGCCTAACCCTATCTTTAGATAAACACAGGCCCATCAGGACATTTAATTTGGATTTACTACCTTACCATACTGAATTCAGAAATATAGTAAATAATGGTTCACATTAACTGTTTTGTTTTTAGCAGATGGTACTAAGTTACTAGAATTGTTATAAAATGCCTGATGGATTTTTATCTAAACAAAAAAATTATAGCCTAAAAAAATTGCCTTTGGAGGGCTTCATCTGTGGTATGCAGACTTAAGACTTGCTCACCTCATGTGATCAGTTAAGTATTTTATTGGAACAGTCATGCTTATTCATGCATTATTATCTGCAGCTGCTTTTGTGTTATAATGACAGAGCTGAATAGTTGTAGTGGGGACCATCGATGAAGAAGCCAGCCCACCCCTGAAGATCATGCTGGCTCATGCTTCCACTGGCAATAACTAGGAAAACAAATTACAAAGACCACAAAGGTATTACAAAGCTGGCAAAGC